GGCTTAGTAGCCATGATTAATGGAACAACACAAGATTAAATTAAGCACAAAAGAAAACGGTACATTCAAGAGATAGTAAATGTGAAATGTATGAGGCTGCTGCTATGTAACACAGCACACTGTTTTATAGCAAACTTGTTTTATAAGTAGAAAGAGTACACTCTAAAATAATAATGAAAAGCATAGTATAGTAAATATATAAACCAGTAATATAATCGTTTATTATCATTATCAAGTATTATATATTGTATATAACCATATGTGCTATGTGACTGGCAGAGCAGTAGGTTTCTTTACACCAGAATCAAAACACAAACACGTGAGTGATGCACTGACCTCCGATGTTATGAGAGCTATGACATCACTAGGCCATAGGAATTTTTCAGTTCCATAATAATCTTATGGGGCCACTCTCATATATGTGGTCCATCATTGACCGAACTGTAGTTATGCAGCTCATGATTGTATAAAATCATGGAGTTACTAGTGTAAGTGATTTCTAATGTTCTAATTTGACAAAATTAAACATTACCAATCCTATTTCAGTCTGCAAGTCTATAATATCTCAAATTTAGAAAACACCAGGGTACAACATTGACAGTTACCTGGGTCACTTGGTAAAGGGACTAAATTAAGGTTCCATTAGTCATTAACATCTTGATATTTGCTTACCTGTCCTGCCTTGGCAACGCTTAGAATTCTTCAGATTTCCACTTTCAACAGTGACTTCTACCTCATACTGTCTTCCCGGTATGAGCCCCATGTCGCTTAAGACATAGTGTGTTTCCTCCTTTCCCACAGTGATGTTGAGCAGCAAGGCAGAATCATTGAAGAGCAGGACGCGATACTGTTCCCAGTCTCCAGCAGGGGGCGACCAGCTCACTACTAGGGACCTGACGGAACCATTGCTGTTGGCCTCCAGGTTCCCAACTTTGTCTGGAACTAAATGGGGAAATGATGTCAAAAAGGAGATACTAAAAACCAAAAATATTATAAGGATACTCATTGACTTTACATGGGCAACAGTAGATAACAGACCTAATATCTGCAATTCAAAACATTTCTATCTCCGCCTGATGTTCGTGAGTTGCAAATGAGTGTTCTTTCCTCCTTTTGGAGACATTTAACACTCAAGAAATGTATGCTAAAATAATTTTATTAATATATCAGCAATGCAATCTTCTGTAACACTGTTAATAACCCAGTGACATGAACGCTGTGTTTTATTGATTGCACACCAGCTCTCGAGATAATATGGATGTTATGTCTAATGATGGTGACGTTGATGGATGTGGCATTTTTGGAAGAGACACTGCATGTTGTGGTTATGAAACATTCCTCTCTTTTTCAACTGAAAAGACTAATCTTGCAATATAGCTCTGATCTCATTATTCTTTCGCTCAAAAACATTCAAGCTCTCTCTATTAACTACAGAATAAAACATCAAGTCCTTGGTATGGCGTTTCTAACAGTGGTTCTCCAAAACCAGACCCCATCTCCTTCCAGTCTTAATTCTGAATACTCCCGCAGACATCCTCCCTCCTTCCCCACTCTCTTGAATCCTGGCCTCCAAGTGCTTGTTCTGCAGACCTGTAAGTCTCCTGGGCTGACTTCTGACTCCATGCCTTTGCTTATATCAGTCCTTTCACCTCAAATGCCCTTCCCTCTTAACCCTCTTCATTTGCCAGAGCTTCACATTGTTTAGGTTCCAGATAAAGGCCATTTCCTTCAAGGAGTCTTTACTGATCTTGTCAAAGAAAAGCTGGTTCTCTTGCTTGTCTGACCACATGGCTCTTACTTGGGATCCCTAATAGCACAGAGAATGGACTCTAGAATCAAACAGCCTGGTTTAAACTCCAGCCCCACTATTTACCGGGTGCATAACTACCGACAAGTTATTTGACCTCCCCAAATTATCTGTAAAATAGTGATAATAATAGGATCACTAGTGGTTTTACTGTGAAAACTAAGTGAAATAATGGTGTAAAGTATTTAATCAGTGCCTGGTATGTGGAAATATCAATACAATTACCATTATTAAAATGTACTACAGTATTTTTATTTGTTGTATGCATATTCTACGTTTGTGTGATTAAAATATAATTTCCTTAAAAGCAAGGGTCAGCAAAGTAAGTATTTCAGGCTTTGTGGGCCACATATGGTCACTGTCTCATATTTTTCTTTCTTTTTATTTTTTTTAAACCCTTTAAACATCTAAAAAATAATAATAACACTCTTACCTTGGGCTATACAAAAACAGGTCACAGGCCACATTTGGCCAAGCTTGTAGTTTGCTGAACCCTGCCATTTTAACAACTCCCAAGGCTCACAGGACAATAATTTACACATTGAAGGTACGAGATAAATGTTTGGTGACTTAAATTAAGAAAATACTTTAGGGAAAACATGGTTAAGTGCTAACTGGCTGTCACTATAAGTGTTGATCAGAAATGTTTTATTCATTAGCATCAATGCACTACTTAAGTGGTGTGACATGATATAGCACAGGGCAGAGCCAGTTATGCAAGTTGTGCAGAAATCAATCCAAACATGTTTGCTTAAATAACTCAGATGAATACAATTAACCCTCTGCTTTACTGTGTATAGGGAGCCCAAGCCCACAGACACCCTCAGTCATACAGACCATATTTCCCAGGTTGGGAAAAAAGTTTCCTTGATAACTTATTTTGTCCTATTCTAAGATGGATCAGAGACTGATTTGGGCAACCAAGGAATATTCTGGAGCTCCAGACTCACCTGTTCTGCCCACTGCCATCTTCTGAGCAGACAGTTCACCAGAGACACAGCTGATGGTAACTTGGTAAAGTCGTCCAGGGGTTAAGTCTTCAAAATGGGTTTCAGTAACCCAGGGTGCTAATATTCTGGTTTCTTTGATAGTCCCTTGGTGAGACAGGATAATATTGTAGGAATCCACATTTCCAGAAGGTCTTTGCCACTTGACTTTTAAAGAGGTCAAAGTGCCATCATTTGTCACCTTCAGATTTGAGACTTCCATGGGGGCTAATTAAGAAGAAAGGAAAAGAGGCTTTAATTCAGGATACCTGACCAGTTTTGTAGCCAATTTGACCTGAATTTTAATCCTGATAAACCACACTAACAGCACAGAAGAAGACAACTTCATGAGGCAAAAACAAAAAACTGCAAAACCAAAGAAAGGCTATCAAGCTAGTGGAAAGAGCACAAACATGGCAGTACGAACCCGGATTCTGGCTCACACTGAGTCATTAGTTGGTTGGGCAATCCTAGGCACCTCTGTTTATCTCACTGAACCCAGGAGTACTATTGGCAAGTGAGGGCTCAGTCAAAAGACCTAAAATGGGGGCAGCTGGTTAGCTCAGGTGGCTGGAGCATGGGCTCGTAGTGCCAAGGTTGCCGGTTCGATTCGCACATGGGCCGGTGAGCTGTGCCCTCCACAACTAGATTGAAGACGACTGCTTGACTTGGAGCTGATGTCCTGGAAAAACACACTTGTTCCCCAATAAAATTTCTTTTAAAAAAAGACCTAAAATGGTCCTTTCCAGCTCTAAAATACTTTTTTTTTTTAATTGGGGAACAGTATGTTTTCCCAGGACCCATCAGCTCCAAGTCAAGTAGTTGTTTGCCTAGTTGTGGAGGGTGTATCTCAGTGGTCCATGTGGGGATTGAACCAGCAACCTTGGTTTTATGAGCACTGTACTCTAACCAACTGAGCTAACCAGCTGCCTCTAAAATTCTTTAAGCGGAATGCTCAAAGAAGTCTGTCATCTGCCTAATTTCTTCCCTTTTTTATATATTTAATAATAGCAAGTACACAATAAATAGATTGGTCAATTGGCCATAACAAAATTTTGTGTGCTAAAAATACTTTGTTTTCATTTTAAAGCATGATAAAATTAAAGCATAAGAATTGTGTCATTATTTCATCAATGGAAAATGATCAAAAGGAGAGACATTTTGGTGAATAATTTTTCTCCCTCTTGCCCATGCTGTAATTTTGGGGCTAATGACATTAATATAAATTAAGAGCACTTCATTAAAAAGAGTGGGCATAGTACACTGATTTTGCATAGGCCAGTTAGAAGTGCAATTTGCTCTTGATATACATAAATGATTCTTAAGATATATGCTGCATTTTTGTTGGGAATGTCTCTATACCTATGAGATGTGATATGAAAGATATATGTAAATGTACAGATATCTCCAAGAATCATTCCCACTAGCCTCCTATAGTTTCAGAAACTCTCATCACTAGAGTAATTTCTTAGGCACTACATATTTTAGAGTTTCTGTTAAAATTAGATAACTTTCTAAGGGAAGGGATTTATTAACATATTAGACCCATCAGAAGTATTAGAATCTACTAGAATGTAAGTTCTATGAGGGCAAAGACTTTGTCTCTCTTGGATGTTGTTATAGCTACAATGTATATAGTTTATACTCAATAAATATTGAATGAATGAATGTGTATATGAATTATTCATTAAAACAGCACAGATTAGCTTATAAGGTTATGTGTTAGGCTATGAGAATAGCTCCCGTAGTACTGGGTCTCAAGACATGTTTTTTTGGATAGAGGTTTGGGAAATGGCTGTTTTACAGAAGTCATGTCTTTGCATAGAACTGAGAAAAGTAATCTTGGTTCATGGTGCGTGATCTCACAAAAGCAGTAGATGCCTGTTTAAGAGAAGGAAGTAGGAATCCTTACCAAGGAGATTGGCATACTAATAAGAGAAGCTGAGACCAGTGATTAATTTTGCTATTTCAGAAGGTTGCCAAGGGCTAGACTAAACTTTAGAATAAAAGGGATCTGTACTTCTCTAAGTGGAAAAGTGGATCCAATTAAGGGCCTTCTATAACATATGAATTTCAATTTGTCTGATATTACCATTATTCAGATAACTTAATTAGCCTCTATTAAACATTTCCTCAATTTGAGCTTTATTCTTGTTCTGCTAGCTATGGAACTTACTTGTCCTGGCTGGTTTCCATCTCAGGTTTTGTAGCCCTGCAGCCTCGGTCACAATGGTGAGGTTATACAGGTGGCCAGGCGTCAGCCCGTGAAAAGTGTAGGAAGTAGTATATTTGTCCACAACACTGCTGTGAACTAGAGTCCCTTTATCCATCAGCATCAGCTGGTATCCTTCCACATTCCCAGGACCACGGGACCAGGAAATCTGGAGGGAATTCGTTTTTGCTGAAATACTAATATCTTTCACCGGGGATGGCACTAATGAGACAAAATACATTTCCAAAATGTCATTCATAAATTACTTATAAAAGACATAGACATGTTTAATTGAAACTCACATATTCATTTATGCTTCTCTGTACATCTAACTTGTGTAATAACTAAGGAAAGAAGCACTTTTGAAATTTCACTGGAACCTGGACGAATGCCCTTTTCAAAGCCCACAGCCTAGTTTACCTGGCTCCCCCACCTAACAGGGATTAGGCAGTTTGTGCTAATGAAGTACCATGTGGCATAGCAGGAAGGGAAAAAAGGAAAAGGGAAGAACTACAGAAGATGAAAAATGGAAAGAGAACAATAAACCAGTAGAGAAAATGAGGAGAGGGTGAATGATAAGAAAGACACTACTTAATGGAAGGAGGTGATAGTGTGTCATTGATATCAGGATGTGTGGGTGCAAGCAAAGATTTGTTCCAAACATGGGAATATTTAGGAAACAGCATGGATCGATGTTATGAGAGTATACACAGGAGGAAAACATTTAAAAATAAGTTTTATGGCACAAACTCAGAAAATGCCTAAGATTTGAGTTAGAAAAGCCATCAAGAAACATTTACTTCATTTTGGAAAAAACTCTAGTCCCAGAGAAGTTCCATGACTTGTTCAAAATAATCCAGCAAACTAGCAAGATGGCCACACTTCCTTATTTTCAGTCGTTTTTCCACTGTACCTAACAACATTTTATCTATTATCTACCTATCTATCTATTTACCTATCTATCTATCATCTATCTATCTATTTATCATCTACTTTTGGTCTGAGGGCATTCTTACCTCCATTTCTTCAATTTAATATAATTTCAAAAGGAGCATACACTATTAAATACCCAACTATCTGTAAACACGTCTTACCTGTTGATCCATTGGTATGAATTGCAGAGGAACGTTTATTTCCAGAAATAGCTGTGATGGCAATATTGTATTTATTCCCAGCAGTAAGGTTAAAAAATGCATATACATTCCATGAAGCACTTTCTTGAATTTGGGCCTCCTGAATCTTTTGGTTATCATCAAATAACTGCACCTCATAAGAGGTGACTTTTCCAGGAGAAGGCGTCCACCAAACATGCAAGCTGGTTGAAGTCGTCTTCTCTTTATTGACCTCAAACCTAGCAGGAGGCAGAGGATCTGCAAGACAAAAAACCAAGGAGAACGTGGCTTGAAGACGTCTGCAAATCCATGCTTACCTTACTATAAACCAGATTCATTTCCCTGAAAAAATTTTAAAATTTGCTACCCATGAAACAAATTGTCATTTTACTCCACTTCCAAACTTGCCATTTAATTTACAAAAGGAGTCTTTTTCTAATAAAACTTTTTTGTTAAGATAACTCTGAGCTTGGAATTCCAAGTAAGGTGACATTTTTTGGCTTGCATGTTTAGCATGTTTCAAACATTGAAAATCTCAACAAAAAATACAGATATATGGACAAATTTTGAAATTTGTACTGAATTTATTCTTTTTTAGGTTGTCGATTTTGGGGTCCAAGTATATATAACTTTGGGTCATTTTTAGATATCATAAAACCACAAAAGATACAGATCTGATGATTATGAGCCTAAGCTAGGTTTGCTCACAAAATGAATTTTCCCAACAGTTGCGATTCCTTATGTCCCTAGATTTTCAAAACTTGGGTTCTGGGACATTTTGGAGCACCGGAAGCCCCCAGAGCAGATGGAAATGGGTTACTCCTGTACCCAGCTGTTCACTTAGTTTCAACTCTTAAAGTCACGGGTCAATTTGAGGAGTCCCGTTTCTTGTGTATTGAATCTTCACTTTGAAGCCTGAAAAAGGTAAAACAGCATGTCTCCAGGTTCAGAACTAAGTCAATAGCATTTTAGTGAGCAGCCATTCTACGGTACAGTGGGACCATCTAAGAAATAAGGCTCTTCCTACACTGAATGCTGGGAGTAGAAACATTGAGGGACATTTACATATGAGTAATTTTCACAAATCCTACATGGTTCTTAATCTAGAAAGTAGGTTTAAGACATTGAAGGCTAAATTTCAAGAGTCAGGTCAGACTAAGAGATCTCAGTTCTTATCTACATCCTAGAAAATTATGTTTTACTCACAAAGTAACTCCAGAAATTCTAGAATGTTCTTAGAACAGTAGATGTTTTAAGAAGGTTTTCACTTTTGACTAACATTAATCCAAATAGGAACAAGTTAATCTTAACCTATATTCAAAAGGCATTTATGACCAGATAGACATAGGCTAAATTCAGCCTATGATCAATCTTATGTCTTTGTATGTGTTTTTGTATGTAATTTATGTGAGTACATCATACTGCAAAAATTAAATAAGCCACGTAACATTTTATAATATCAATAATTAATAATATGTTAGCTGACAGGTTAAGCTGAGGCAGCAGTAACTTTAAGAGCCCAAAGCACAGGTGAGCCCAGAGGACAAGGTTGTGTGGTTTACACCCTAGCACAGCACAGGTTTACACCCTAGCACAGCACAGGTTTACCTGACGAGTATAGGCTCTAGAGCCTGATGCCCAGGGCTTAAATCCAGCTCTTCCACTTCGTAACTGTGTACCTAGAGCAATTCCTTAACCATCTGTGTCTCATCTATGCGATGCTGATAACACTACTATCCTTTCAGTAGAATTGTTCGGAAGATTAAATTGAGTATTTTATCTAGAGTACTAAGAAGAGTATCTGGCACGTAGTAAGTATTCAATGTTAGCTAGTATTATAATTACTCCTACAATCAGGAGAAAATCTTGTCACAGAAGCAAGGAGATATAGTGGCAGAGAGCATAGGCTTTGTAATCAGAACTCAGTTCAAATCTTGGCTCCATCATGTATCAGTCATGAGACTTTGGGCAAAGTTACTTAACTTATCTAAACCTCCATTTTCCCATCTGTCTGGGGAGTATAATAATAGTACCTACATTCTCAAATGTTTTGAGGAGTAACAAAGTACAGAGGAGGCTTTACCTGGCATACAACAGGTACTCAGTAATATAAACTTATTCTGTCTACTTGATTATAAAAAAAAATTTTCCTCTGAAACACTGATAAAATGGAGGCAAAAGTGGAATACAATTTTTTTAAACTAAACTGATAAAAGCCTTAATTGCCTTCTTCATAAAAAGAAAACCTTGATAAAATCTTATCAGTATATTCCCATGAACTAACTTTCAAACCCTTACGATAAAAAAAAAAATTCCAACGTTATTCTGATTTGTAGACTCCTGAGGAAAAGCAGTAGTTTTTTTTTTTCTGGCAATAATATCTAAAATTTCTACCCTACATAATAGTCTATAATTAAGGATGTCATAATAAAAGAAAAGAACATAATACCCCCTCACAGAAAATTTTCATGCTGCCTGACAAGAATAAGGTACTACCACAAGATTCTAGGACCTAATGAACCTCGAGAACAACCTTGTCATAGCCAACCGAGATGATGCATTTTTGCTGAAGAGGCATTTTAAGGACAAGGATGAAAGGGACAACTGCTTTCCAGTGATAGTTCAAATGAGATCAATACTGTACTGTTATCAACGTCTACAACTAAGACAGATAGATAAAGGCTAAAGAAAATGTTATGATCCGTCTAATCTAAACATATATAATCTGCAAAATGCGAGCTATAGAAAATGAATTTTATGGTTGCGTGCCTAGAGAGTGAAGTTCAGAAATGCAGACTTTATCTAATCTCTCTGAGGCAGAAAACAAAACAGTCAATCCTTTGTACATCCGCTAGAACAAAGGAACAATGAGACTGGGAAGTGCCTGGGCTGCGAGAACCTGCACTGGAAACAAACACTTAAAACCCCATTTATACTGTGATAAAGCCCTGGGCTGGCAGTTATCCACTATTGCTATGCAGGCCGCAGAAGTTAAACAGTTTTCAGACATCTTTTCAATCTAAGCCCAATGAAAACTGTTGTATTAAAAAAATGTTTTCAATATTTTATTAGGAACGAATTAGATACTTCCATCAGGGATGCTAATTTAATATATATAGATAGGTCTACATCTATCTCTCTATCTTATCTATCCATTTATCTATCTAAAAGAGAGAGAAAAATTGTAAAGCTCTTTGAAAATTTAATTATATGTCTGTAATCTTTTGGTGATGACAGTTCATATGTAATCAGGAAACCCTGCTTGACTTTTAATTTGTGCTGATGGCTAGAGGTATCAATGCACATATGGGTGCCTTTCCCATCCCTCTCTCATACATACAGTAACCAGTGAAGTATTATAAACTATGAGAACTGTTAAAAGCCATAAATCAATAATTTAATCTCAATCAATGTAACAAAATTTATCATTAGCCATAAATTAAAGACATCTTTGTGCTTCTTAATTCAAGACAGGCCTGCAATATGGAAAGCCAAATACAAAGTTCTGCCATCTTCATCTGCTATATTTCAATGAATCTATCAGATTAGGGAAGCCACCGAATTTCATAAACTGGCTTGTTATCAACCCAATTTTTCTGTTCTCAGAGGAAAAGGTGAAGTTTAGTTAAATTCCTGGACCAAAATGAATTCTTCCTTTTTTCCTTTTCTTTAATGTGACTTAGGAAGAGAGAAAAACTCATATATATAATGCAAGTAATATTTTCTTTAAAAATTCTTTTGTATGGCTATTAAAACATTATTATCTATTGATATGGGAATTTCCAGAGTGTTTAGAATTCAAAATGGTAGTATTTATTTTAGAAATAAATCCAACCTTATAACAAGAGTGCAGGCAATTTGTGGATTAGTGCCAAACACTTGTCTTGAAGTCATAATAGCACCACAGTATACCTATGTAAGAACTGATACTTTACAAAATGCTTTTTTAGTTTCAAAAATCTGCCCCAAGGGATGGTTTGTAGCTTTTGCCCCACAGATGAAAAAGCAATTGTTCACAATCTCCAGTTAATTAAATACATCTCTTTTACTTTGTGATTGTTGTTGTTTGACTATACTAGTCAGCTTTCTGACTTATTTTAAGATGATATACTATGTTATGCTAATGCATTAGATTAACATGCATTTGATTTATCACCTTTATACACTAGACATGAAATTCAGGTAGGAAGGAACTTTCAAAGTTTGAACAACCTTGAAAGGGAAATTAAAGCGTATTTTATAATTACTTGCATCATCATCAACAACAATGCAGAATGCTGCATTGTTTTGTGGGTCATCATAATTTGGCCTTAGGTATGTAGATGTAGATGGCCCTCCCTCTGAGAGTTCACAGTCTATTCAGGCAGTTAAGACCTATGTGAAAAAGGTAAACAAAAGGTGCATTATCAGGGAAGCTGACTTTGAAGCCAGATTAGACCTGGGTTCAAATCTCGACACTGTGGCTTACGAGGGTGACTTTAGGCAAGCTGCCTAACCTCACTGATTCTCATCTGTAAAATGGGACTAACAATTCCTATTTTACAGAGTTGAAAGTGTTAAGAGGTAATGGAGAAAAAGTGTTAAGTGCAGCCCTGGCATGTGCTGGGCTCTCAGTAAATGGCAGTTGGTATGAGTGCTGCTGCTGTTAAGAGTAACACAGGCCAGCATTAACACTAGTTATGCAAACAGAGAATGATATTCATGGGCAAAGGTCTCAGAGGTGGGCTTCATGAAGGAAATGAACTTGAGCAAGTTTGTAAGGTCAAGTGGGACTTAAAAATCAGAGAGAAGAAAGGGCATTGCAGAGAGAGAGAACAATTTAAGATAAAGCTCAGTTCCAGTGAACATTAGAGAACCTTGTCAGCACTGAGAGTACCCTGACAACTGATGGAGACATTAACCCCCTCGACACCATGATATCTTTTGGCAGCTCCACTCTAATTTTTGGATATTAACAATTGAGGCTTTCTCAATATTATCTAAGTACTACATAAAGGCAGTGTAAAGTCCCTTGGTCTCCTCTTCCAATCAGATTGCCTCTCTCATGTAGAAATTCATGAGCTGTCACTTGATGTGTGCTTTCAAACCAGAACATCCAGACATTAAGGAATTATTGCTAATGTTAGGTACAATAATGATATTGTGGTTGTGTTAAAAAATCCTTATATTTCAGAAATGCATACTGAAATATTTATAAATGAAATTAAATGACTTGGATTGCATCAGAATGATATGGGGTGGGGGAAAGGATGGAGATA